CGGAAGATTATGTCGCAAAGACTAGCGGATGGCTGCGTTTAACTTTAAGATCCCTGCGATGACATGCATTTTGATTTCGGAAAATTATGTCGCAAGGATTAGCGGATGACCGCGTTCAACTTTGGAATCACGTCTCCAATATGCCTTAAATTTGTGACATTTTCATTTTGGCCATCGACCAAAGAATACATGGGCTCCTTTCACAATTTAGAAGAACCGCTGTTGAACTAAGATTTTTCACCCGTCCAGCTTTCTGAAGGAATGGAAGGCAGTATTTTACAAAGTATTGCTCACCTCCTGTCACAGCTGAAGACGACTGCCTCCTGCTCATGTTAATCGTCTTTTCCATTCTAAAATACAGTTTTATCTTCAGCCGTTACGGACGACACGTCTCCACTTTTCACCAGACAGCGTATTTTGCTGAAAATTGTCCAAATTTTGATAAATACAGATTAAGAACGCGTCACAGATTCGCCTCGGAGTTTTATTTGTTCGCACGCTCAGTCAGCCAATCAAGAATCCTTGAAGTGCCTGTAAAGAGATGCATGATTTGCTATGAATATGCACGTGAAAAGATGAAATAGTTATCGATCAGTAATTGCATCATAATAGCCATTTTTTAGCCAAGAAAGTGCTCTGGAACTAAAAAATAAAAATAAAAAAAATAAAAAATAATCAAACAAGTTCGCCGGTAAAAACTATGTAACTCAAAAGGATAGAATGTATTTTAATTTAAAAACGTAAGTGGGATTTTTTTTTGCCATTATTGGCAGTAATGTCGCACTCTGATTAGCTAATTTGCATTTGTCAAGAGAACAGACAACGCTGCTTGCCTCAACATGTCACGTAACATGAAGTTCCCAGGAGTACCACTTCTTACCCTAACTTGGAGATTCCATATCAGGTGATGATCGAAGACTACGCATGCGCTCACCAAAACACTTTGGGAGAAGCACTTTCCAGAGTAAAGTGCCTTGCCCAAGAACTTAACAAAATGAGTTGGGTCTCCAACCAGGATCCCTCAACCCGTGGAGTTAGCACGTTATCCGTTTTTGCTTCTGCGTCTCTGTAAAGAAGTGCTGAGTGCACAAGAAAGTGAACCTTTAGGTTGTTGTTTCCCATTACCTGATCCTGACCTTTTTACTCTAAAATGGAAAGGCAATCCAGATTAATTTATTCAGAGCTCACGATAGGTAAATAGGCCCTACTTTGACCGCTTGTATGCGTTAATTTGATGCTAAATAAATCCGCATGTAAGCGGTTAATTAAAGGCGAATCGGCTGACAAGGAATACAAGGAATACTCCCACAATCCCCCGAGCTTAACTTTCGTCTCCAGACTCTCAAAGTGTTCGTGAAACGCCTAGGAATAGGGCTAATACTTGAACCTTACAGTGGAAATAGCGGGTGGGGTCGAGAATAGACTTCAACACAAAACAACAGCCTCAATTCTATATTTATTGCGTTGATATTTCACGGTGCTCTACATGTGATCATTTGTAAAGTTACCTTTTATTGGCGATTTCGTTCTATTTTAAAACTTATGTCAAATTTGATTTTTGGGCGGAAATTTCATTTCATCTACATCGTGGCCTAAAACGAATAAACTTAATTACAAACCTAAAGCGTGTCTTTGTTAGCTACCACTCCTCTAGGACTACAATTAATTGAAAAGCTATTTCTAAAAAACTGAAACTTTTTACATCATTTCTACACTGATTTTCGTACATCGCATTCAAGAATCCGGCACTGACCCATTCATTCTGTTTTCTAGATATAGGATATAGGCTTATTTACACCTGTAACGTAAACATTATCACTGCCATTGGTTTAAGCGTGTTCGTCGTTGCTACATTACCAAATGTGAGCTAGACGTAAGTTAGGACCAAACCTCGCACGCAAGTTTGCGATTTTTTTTTTTTTAAGGATTCAAGACTGGTGACGAATGATTTGATTGGCTTAGTCCCTTCGATCGCAAGATTTACCACACACTACAGCTGCAAATCGTGCACTTCGTTT